AGTAATTATAATTTTTTTATCGTATAAAATGAACAAAAGTTGAAAGAACAAATTATTTTTTAGCTTAAATTGCTTAATAATATTATTTATCTTATAATTTGGTCGAAAAAAGAACTTATAAAATATGACTTCTATAATAAAAATAAAAAATAGCACATAATTGTAAAGACAAATTAAAATCCTTTACAAAAAATACCTTAAAATCATTATTTTATTATTAAAATCAATTTATACTCTTTTATTCTCATTGTTTTGCTTCTAAGTTTATTATTACTTAATTAAAGGTAACATGCATTCTTTGCAGATTTTGCGAATTTATTATTTAAAATAATACAAAGTTTGCGTTAAAAATACAAAAATATATAGCCATTTGAAGAAGTAAGAAATCAGAAATGCCTAGTGGATAACTTAAAGTATTTTCCATTTTCCAAAATAAAATAATTTAAATCATTAATAGTTATAAGATAACTTCTAGCATAACTCAGGTACTTAATTTCCAAGTAACATTGATTTATCATGCAGATAAATTGTAGCCTAAAAAGTTTAAATTAACCTTTTATGAAAATTATTAAAATAGCAACAAATAACAAAATCAAAGAGAAAATAATGTAATGTTCTTCAAATGGCTAATAAGTTTACTTTTTGAAAAAGTAAGGAAATTATTATGCTCGCGAATAATTTCACTTATAAAATTATTTTTAACGGATATATCTACAATACACGTGAATCCCGAGTACATAAACGTACTGTAGAATTTTTAAAAAAATTAGAATAACATCAGTACTATTAATGTCTACTGTAATTGCTATATCTACTATTAATTTCATGTAAGCATTGGGATTTGGTGGTGAAATATTTGGAAGATGAAAATGCAAATTTTACGCAAACATATTATTGGTGTATGCATACTTTTAGGTTCAACTTTTCTGCATTTTTTATTACTCATAGTTTTGCGCGTGTCTGCGTGTTTTGCGTGTTCTGAGTAATTATTCCTATTTTGTTCGTTAACATTTCAGAATGTCGTATTTCTTTGCATTTATTTGTTTTTGCTCATTTTCTTTATTTTACAAGGCAATATGTTTTTTTATTTTTATTACTTTCCATTTATCTGTAATACTTCATTGAAGTAATATTTTACTGTTTGTTTGTTTTTTCACTTTTGAATGTTCTGACCTATTCAGAATTAGAAAAATTATTTAAGGTAAGCAATTTCAAGCTTACATGTCTTTAGATTAGCTAGTTTTCGTTGCTATGTGCAAAACTATGATATCACGTGTATTCTGACAAATTACAAGAAACGCCACACGTAGTTTACCTGCGTTCCTTGTAAATCATTTTGTTTCTGAAAGCTATTAATGGCTTTAATTAAGTATATGAGCGATAGATAAGCATTGACATCTGATAAAATTATGATCCCATTTTTAACACCATTGTTTTGTCATTTTATTTACGTTGCAGTGAAAAGACACGTGATATTTTTATTCGTGAATGTAGTTTGCTTTTGGTTCATGAATTTGGTCTACCGCCTAGTAAGTCTACATGTATTTATTTCTGCAGGATTACAAAATAACGGTACTAGAAAAATTAACTGTTCATTTTAATCCCTTAAAATCACTGAAAAACTAATTAAATTTTTATTACATTACAGTTTAGCAATCAGAGACATAATTGTACTCAGACAATCAAGTAATAATGCTTATAATGCATCAGATACAGCAATAAGCGTATTGGTAATGATAAATTTATTTATCACTTGAACATAATACTAATAGCTGCATAATTAATAATAATTAATACAATATTATTAATTAATTAGTCATAATAATAATAACGAATAATGGTAATAATAATAAATCACCGTATATAATATAATTGCCATAACAATTTTATGGCAATTATATTATATACGGTGATTTTACTAGTAATGATATATCCAATAATGTAGACTGTGAGGTAAAAATGTTACAAATAAAATTGTTTATGCAATCAAAAATAATGCAAAAGAGATTATTTGATCTTTATATAATATAATTATTAAAGCATTTCAAGAAAGAGAGATCATTTAATTTTAGTTTTCTATCAGAACTAAATTAAGTTACCGGGAATATTATTGCTCAATTTTGCACTATTACTCGAGTATATAAGCGCAACTTCTATACCCTTTCTATATCAACTTATTCGAATATGCAGGTATGAATACGATTAAATAATCGTACTTAAACGATTAAACGATATCTAGGGATTAACAGTTTGGTTTGCGCGTGAAGGATAGCTAAAGATTAATGATTGTTTACAGTTTAGTCTACGGATTAGACATTATCACGGGGAGTAGTTCAAATTACACGCAAGTGAATCAGTAGTGTTCCTGCTGTAGATCTCGGTGTCTAATCCCACGTAAGCAGTAAGGGCAACTGCTTTTGACATATCTTAATCAAAAAAATATTGATGGGTTAATTTCAATTTTTGGTATTTAAAATCAAAATCTGTCAATACTAACATTACTTATGTTTTACTTTGGATTAAAGCCAGTTCTGATATGTTAAGTGGTCGGATGTCAGATTTAGGAGTTCAAAGATACTAGTGATATTAAAACATGAAATCACGTATCTGCTGGCTCATTCTAATCTTTTTTCCTTAATTTTGAAGTTACTCGTAGATATCGTTATTATTAAGTACTGACATCTGTTGTAAATAGTTAACATCACCTAGCAATAATTTTGATTTTATTAGATATCAATATCAAGTTAATACTATATTTTCTTTAATAATTTTTTTTTGATCTGCTTTTTTATGCTATTTACTATGTTAAAGTAATATTTACAGTTCTTTATTCGATTTTTAGTAGAGAAAACAAGAATCTCTAAAATCAGGAATCTAATATATACTACGTTTTCAGCGGATTAGATATTTTCACGGCTCATAAATATTATAAATCTAGTCAAGCAATAGCTTTGAATTATTAGTACTGAGGGAGTAATGTGGACATATGTGAGGTAGTTATGTTATCCATTTTAATAAGTTCTGGAGGACATATTAACCGATTAAATTAAGTTGGTTCAGGGAGAAAAAAAAACGTTTTGGTCCAGAATAGATGAAAGATGGTGTCCAGAAGGAATAGAATGAGAAGGATATGGTATTCAACTTTGACCCTAGCTACATGCATCTTACGACAATACAAGGAAGTAGTAGGGGAAGGTCATTAATGCTTGTGGTGCTTCACAAGTTCATTGAAACTGATCAAACTACTTAAATTTACTGCGGATGTCACAGTTTAGATGTTATTAGTCAGCAGCAAAGTTTAAAAATTGATAATAAAATTTGTATAGAATTTAGCACTTTTTGGATGCACCACAGATACAAGCACTACTCATGTTGCATACAAAAGTTACAGTGGACTTTTATAATTTCTTGAAAAAGTGTTACGATCTTTTGGTAACAGAATACAAATCAATGTACGTTGAAACTTCTTTTGATTAAAACTTTGTTGGTATTGTATTATTGTACTAATCTTTAAGATTGCTACACTGATTACATCATTTGCAGAGTTAAACGCGTTTGTAAATTATTATCTTTGGTGTTACGGTTTAGTTTTATTGTTTAGCTAATCGTTCTAACTATGGAATAGTTAATTTTGGGTTAAAGATGAAATGCAGAAGTGGAAGTGTGTATCTCATTTTCAACTCGAAAATCGAAAACGATTCCTCACTGATGACTGATTCTTGCGTGGCTATTGTACAAACCGAATGCAATGTATATTTTAATTATGTTTAAAATTTTGTTAATTGTTGTTTTTTATCGTTCACAATAAATGCTCTAATGAAGTCTTTTGCAATAACAGACGGTATCCAGAATCCTGCATTCACAGCAAAGATTACAGAAAGTTTCTAGGTCTTAGAAGTTAAATCGTGCTTGCATATGTTGAAGTGAAGTTTCGAGATCGTTGTCAACTGACTTCACGTGTGTACATAAAGCGAGTAAAAGAGTTCGTGAAGTGAAGAGAGCAGAGGAAAACGAATAGAGAAAAGGAGAATCGGGAAAGAAGGAAAGAATTAAAACTAAAAGAGAGATAGACAGAATGAATAGACGAAAAGTGAGTAATGATTGGGAGAGAAAGGTCGAGGTGAAGTAAGAGAGATTGATTTATAGAGAGAAGGAGTGGCGAAAGGAAGAGTTCAGCTCATTTTAGTTCTGGAATGCGATTGATGAGGATTCGAGATTTCGTTTGAGTAATAATTGGGAGAGAAAGGTCGAGACTAAGTTTTGAAGCATTTACTCTTTGTTTATTTTTGGCTATTGTTTATTCTTAGATGACCTATGACCTGTATTTTTTTACCTAGGCAAAGCTAGAGCATTCGTCGATGTGAAATATTTCATTCTATAACATTGCTTGACCTCTCTCATCAATAAACAAGCAGTAATTCACTCAGTTTTTTTTTGCATAATTGCTGCATTCTAAGAAGAAAGGATTTTTTTAAATAGTAGTCTGATTTTATCATTTAATTACTTTTGGTTTATTTCAACATTTGTCTTCGCTTCTATCTGCGTATGCGCATATATTTATGACCGTTTATTCGCTTTGTTGATTTTATTTACAAGATATATTATTTTCATGCTCAAATTTATTTTATGAACGACCGCATCACGATGATCTTGTTAGTCTTTTATTAATTTTTACGTTTCGATGCTCCGCTTAGCATGTATTGTTTGTTTTCAGGATGCATCCTAATGAACATTATTGGAGCACTTGCACATGTGAATTTAACGATCAGATAGTTTGGTGATTTCATGCATCAGAGGTCTATTTATTGTTTTATAATCATTATTGTACAGTTTGATGGAATCGTAGAACAGTACTGTTTAATTATGCAGTCATTTTGCAATAGTAGTACATAATTTTACTATAATTCTTGTGTTTTTTTAAGAATTGTTAGAAATGCATGGATTTATAAATCACATTTATTTTTATAATCTTTACATTTATTTTATGTTAGAAATTGAAAATGGATGGATTATCAACTACAAGTGTTTCAAAAGAAACGGGGACCGGAAGCAGTGATTCTGCTTCCACTTCATACCAACAGTGTATGTCTTACAACAGGAGCTGTTATGTTTTGAGTTTTATGTTGACAATTTCATTATATTCATATGGTTTCGTGCAGTTAAGGGATTCATTACAGTATATTGTAGATCCGGAAATGAGTGCCGAACAAGAATTCTTCTTGTACGAACTTGAAACAACCGATGCGGGCAGTGTTGGTTTGGTGTTAAGGTCGTGTTTTGAATTTTCATATATAAAATATTGACAGAAATGTTCAAAAATGTTCTCAAGTTGTAAAAATTTAGAGCAATTTAGATTGCGGTGATGTTCACAAGTTTGCTTGTGCTTTGGAACATCATATACACTCAAGTTGTAAAAATTTAGAGCAATTTATGATTGCGGTGATGTTCACAAGTTTGCTTGTGCTTTGGAACATCGTATACATCATTATGATAAAAGCATCCAGAGAATTTGTTCATACCATTACCAGGGATATATTGATTCGATGAAACAATTATTGCAACTGAAGAGACTTAGTTTGGAAATCAAGGCAAAAATTTTTTTCCCCAATATGTATTTGTATGAATTTTGATTTCGTAAATCTTTGTTTTTGTTAGTCAAATAAATTAATGTATAACTGGTATCATTTAAAGTGCTTTCAACATTTTCTCAGTTTTTTATCTCTCAGGAAGAAGTTAATGCAGTGGATCACAGTATACAGGAAAGTAGTAAAGAATTGAGAAAACGAGGGGCTGAAATTGTTCATTATAGAAAACTGCAAAGAAATGCCAATATTGCGATCAATCATATTTCTTTATGCTTACCAGTGCTTGAGAATTATGCCAAACTAAATGAATTCATGCAGCAAAAAAAGTAAAAATTGTGCTTATTGCTTACTATATGTTAAATTTTGAATAATTCTACTTTTTTCAGGGTAGTAAAAGATATTTTTAATGACAGTAAATTCTACCCAAGAATCGAGCCATAGTATGTCGATATGTTTTTCGGTTTGTACGAAACTCTAAATGCCATTATAGGTTTTATCAGGCACTGAAAGTGTTGGAGGAATTGGAGCATACATATATGGTTCATGTCAATAACTATCGATTTACACAAACTTTAAAAAAGTCATTATTTCCAATTCGTGAACTAATCAAGGAAAAATCGTTTTCGGAATTTACAGATTTTTTGGAAAATATTCGAAAAGTTTCTGGTCATTATTTGTAATTTTTCAGTCACAGATTTTTGCTAGTATTCTTAATTTTCTAGTCTGATTTGGTAATTTCAAAATTCTTCCGATCGTCTGTTGTAGGGCGCATTGGTCAGCATGCATCTAAATGTACAGCTGAACAGCACTCTTTTGGTATGTCTGAAGCCGAACGTGTAAAACGTTTACAAGAAGAAGCTAAAAAGAATGCGTTAAATGGCGATGTTGGTAGGTTTTGGTACATTTTTTATTGCATAAGCACCAAAAAACTGATTTTTTGTTTTGTTAATTCACTTTCACTGTTAATAGACAATTTTACACCATTGTAAATTTTAGAGCTTTCGTCAGACGGATCAATAGTTAAAAAAATGGAAAAAATTTCACGCAAAACTTTTCAAGTGATTTCTGCTGAAGAAGATGAACAACTTAGTGCTCAAGACCTTATAGATTTCACCCCCGTACATCGGTGTTGCCAAATCTTTAATGTTATTGTAAGTACATATTGCTTAATAATTACTGGTTATTAATAAGCTTATTGGCTGTATGTCAAACGTAAAACTGAGTTCCACATTTTATGGGATGGAATCTTTTGCTTATATCATTACAGGGTGAAAAGGAAACCTTTGAGGCGTATTATAGAAAGCAACGAAAGGAACAGGCAGTAGTTGTGATCCGGCCACCAAGCAAGCTGGTATGGTCACTTTTGAGGGGATACTACTGATCCATGTTTCTCATATCTTTCATAGTTTCATGGTCTTCACTTTTATTGAAAATCGTACAGAAAATGAAAATTAATATATTATGTTTTTCTGAAACCCCATTTCTTTATGTTAGTTTTTAAGGAACAAAATCGATTTTTCAATCTCGAACCGATTCATTTTAGCAAGAATCGATATATTTGTATGTGAAGTATTTGGATGAAATTATTGGGTTTTTCGTAGTCGAAGACCACATCATGCAAACGGAGCCTAGTCTGGTTACTGCTGCTTACAAAGATCAACTTTGGGAAATGGCATTGCATCAAGTTACAACTACCATGAATGCTCATTTCGTCAGTATTCAATTTATAATTCATTCATGAGTGATTTTTTCTTCATTAATAATCAGTTTGATGACATAAAGATATCATTGAGAAAATTTGGCAATTTTATAGGGAGGATGCTTGGATGTTGAAATGATGCTGAAAATGAAAAAAGTAATTTTATTGTTTGCAATGACAATGAAAAGTTATGGATATAGAATTAGCTCCCTCTACACTTTACTTCAGAATTTCAGGTATTGTATATATTGTTTTTCCTGCTGCCTTGTATTTGCAGTATAATTCTTTAGATTGATTGGCACTTTTTTTCAAGAGCTACAATTTCTTTGTTTGAGAGATCAATATAATGAAATTTTGATGCGAGAATATTGCGCCCAGTTTGAACGAGATCTTGAAAATGATAATTATTCACCAATAACTGCAAAAGATGAAGCTGAATTCAGAGCAGAAGTGATGCAATTTCCATTTTATCGAAGGGGAATGGATCAGGTTTGTGATAAGTCTAATTTTTTCATGGTGACGGTTATTTTCGTAGATATTTTATTTACTTGTTTAGGAACCTTATCCTCGAGTATTTCCATTCTCAAAATTTGTACCAGCAGTTTACGGACAAGCAAAAAATTACCTAGTTGGATGTTTGAAGTTCATGGAACACTTACAACTTTCACCTACCGAGGTTTGCTTGTACATATTTTCTTACCAATTTCAACTTCATTGAGAAGCCTTCACTTCTCTTTCAACATGGTCTTATGTTGATTGAATTTTTATTTGTTCAATATAACGCTCCAAATATTAATTAAATTTATTGATTTCGTTACTCCAAATACATCCATTAAATGTTCAAGGTTGATGATACTGTACGCCGTTATGCAAATGTTCTGCTTGCTCGATGGTCAGGTTCTTTAAAAAGTTTTGTATCGACTAAAAAGCGCACACTCATACAGGTTAGGGAATTTCGCTCTACATATCTAAAAGATTTCTTTGAATTACTCATTCACTGAAGTGATATTTTAAGCTTGTCCAAATCACAATTAACATCGGATATTTGGAGAAGTCTTGTGAATCGTTAGAGCATTATATTAGTAAATTGACTAATAGAAACAATGGTTCCAGTACCACTACAGGACACTTGGTAACACTGAAAGATCGAGTTTTTCGGTTCGTTTATGTACTATAATCGAAAAAACTTAGGTAGCCATTTAATTTTCATTGCTTTATTCAATTTTTGGTCTTCAGAGATGCTCGATCGGAAGTAGAGCAACAAATTGATGGTGCACTTCGAGACAAAGTTGATGCTTTTCTTGATCTAGGTTACTTTGATTTTTTTTTCATTTTTGTATCTTGAATTTTAAATCTTAAAGTTGTATTATACAAAGATATTACAGCAAATTACGACTGGGAGCTGTCGAGTTCGAGTGGACGAGCCAGTGATTATATTTCAGACCTCATTAAATTTTTGGAAACGACTTTTGTGTCATTCAGTAATTTACCAAGTATTTTGGCTCGACATGTCTGCATGCAGGTTAACTCTTTTGCCAAAACAAAGAATTTTAGTTTATGTTATCAACAAGTTTTCTTGCGTAGCTATGTGAATGTCATTTTCATTTTTATTGTATCTTGCGATCAAAGAAATTGTTGTAAAAAGTTTACTATTGAACTTTATTTGTCCAAAATCTAGTCGCATTGCATTAAAATCTAGTGTCAGAAAAATCGCTGAAGCAAGTATCGTGTTTTAGACTTGTAAATATTTGGCAAATCGATTGACTGAAATTCTGCTAAATACAGACTTGAAATCCGTGAGCACTGGGGCACTTGACCAATTTGATTTGGACGTAATTCAATGCGAACTATTTACTGCTCAGTGCCCTATTGCAGGATTAGAAGTAAAGTTTTACTGTAATACCTTTGCTATTTACGAACTTATCCATAACACAGCTGCTTTTTAGGATGGTACGCTTACCATGACATTTGCGAGTTTACGGCAACTTCTTGATTTAGTTATGAAAGCAGATTGGCCAACATATTTGGCGGATTATGGAAAAGAAGAGAGCAAATATTCTAGAGTTAAAGCGTCTCATGGAATTATTTTGCTAGAGAAGTACATTTTTTTGCTGATTTTAATATTTTTTGCAGCATGCGCTGTAATTCACTCATGGCTCATTCTAGCTACAAAATTAAAGTGGCTGAAGTAAGCTAGATTTTATCGTGATTTTAATAATAAATAAAATATATCCGTAGCCTTGTCTAAAATTTCAGACTTATTGAATTCGAACGCAAATCATCGAGTTTTTTCGGCAAAGGTCGCGAAAAAGATCGAAAAAAATTATTGGATACTATTGTTCGTCAACTACGAGCTCTTGCTAATCAATAGCTTTGAGCTTCGAGATCTTGCTAATCAATTATTCACACACTGCAAAATCCATAACTTTAGTGTTATACCTTTTTCAGTATATCCGAATTCTGCTATTCACGTGGATGTGGTCACGTGGATGGGCAACACATTATTCCCGGTGCCATTGTTTTATACAAGCCAAAAGTAAAGAAATGTAAATCAATTGATCTGCAGTCACCGTCACATTAAGAGTTGTTATCTTTATTGGTCGTTCCTACGTTAATATTAACTTTGTTCTACAGTTCTTGAAATACATAAAGCTGCTGAACATGATGAAAGGAAATATGATCTTCGGTGTCGTATACGTATAATTTTTGGTATCATAAGTCATTAACATTCTAGAACCTCGTTATGAAACTTGTTGTTCTAACGCAGATAAATAGTACAACATTAAATCTTTACTTGGATCCACACACTTTGACTTCGAACATACATTAGTCATTTATATATCTATACAGTCTATAAACCGACATTAAAGTGTAAAATTGAATAAATAACTAATTGAAGGATTCCCTGCACTTCCATTGCAACAGTAATGTCACTGCAATCTGTCTTAGTCGTTCTACTTAAGTGTAGCGCAGGCACGGTAGTAATTTATGAAAATAACGTGAGGATAAAGAAATGTTACGGCTTAAAGATTGTGTGACCTGCATTCTTAAGACTATGTGGTTTCTGTTGTGGAGCAGAGTCATTCTTTTTTCCACATCAGCAAACAGAATTATGCTTACCAGAATTGTTCCTCTTGGTGAACATTTAATCCAGAGTACTTTCCAGGGATTCGAGTATCAGGCATGGAGTTCAGTACAATTGCATTACCCAAAATGTCAATGACTGGAGGAAAGAACTTTCTTATTTCATAAGCAAACTGAACCCGTATTTGGTTTCAGAAATTGCTCTAAGAATGAGAAGATTTTATATGCTTATAAAATTAAGCTATGATAAAATAATAGTGATGACTGAACCGACGCAACTTACATTTTGGTGAGAGCACTGGGAAACGGACACCATATTTCACATGACATGGGAAACCATTAGAAAACAAACTGAATCTCGTGACAATTTTTATTTATTATACAAAAGCAGGGAGAACAAAATATGCAGTAAGGTAAAATTTCCTATAATGTTAATAGTCCATGCTTGAAGTTACTTAATTTATTACCGTTCCATCAGACAGTATTATATTCTGATCATTTTACAAATTGAAAAACAAAACTCATGTGCTAATTAGTCTGTTATTCGTTCTCGTTCCTTAGAAGGAATGAAAGAATCATATTAAACTAAGTTTCTCAATGTTCAAGCTTGAAGCTTTCAAATAATAAAATATACAAAAAATAAAAATTAGATCAGAAAAAAA